CCCCAAAACCCCAAAACCCCAAAACCCCAAAACCCCAAGATCTTAGTTTAATCTTGATATAATATAAATTAAATATGTCATTCAGAGCGGTCTGGGAAATAACAGTGAACTTAGACACATTCAGAAACATCGCGGTTAGACATGCTTGCATTGGACTTATTATCTTAAGAGTGTTTCACAAGTATGGGGATAAAAAGATATTCGCTAAGATACATAAAATAAGGTAAGACAACTCTTCTTTATATGAAGGTTTGACTTCTTAATTCAAATTTAGTAATTCTCAAGATGGAAAAGATGAGTATATCCATCAAAAACCTGTGTTTCAAAAGAACCCTGCTTTCTACCAGAGCAGCTTATTTGCAATAAAGCATAAAAATTGACAAGTCAAGTTAAAAGAAACTGTAATTTTCAGACTGGAGGTTGCATTACCGACAGAAAGTATAAGACATTGTACTACATTTGATGAAGTCTACAAGGCATGCAACCATGAGATCTTCCTCAATGCAGACCTTTACACAGAAGACTATGAGTTTGATGATACAAGTGAAGATGATGAGTACCTTGAAGATTGCCCACTCAATCACCTGCTTAAGTCAAATAGAGCTGAATTTTTAATTAAAGATCCTTATAGATGCAATCTGGAATATTTTGGGATAAATTTCACAGATCTTTACTTTTCATCCTGAAATGGTTTTATCCAATGCTCCTTAGTCAAATTTATGTTTGACCCCACTCCAATTATTGAAGTAAGCAGGAAATCACAAGAGCAATTTTTAAAGAAGCATCATGAGTTTGACAAAGAAAAACTAATGAAAGTTTTTGCTAAAATGGATCGTAAGAACAAACTATCTTTCAAAGATTCAGCAAAAATGAACGAATATGCTACCAAAGAGTTGATGAAAACTCTTCCCAGAGAGACTCCTGAAACAATGGAAGAACTTCTCTTTGGAGATGAGGACAACAATTATAAGCTTGCTGATGAAGATACAGATTTCACCAAGGAATATGCTCGAAAAGTCATATATTGCCTCATCAATCCTCTCGAGAAATCTTATGATACGATCAAGTGCTTATACCGTGAGTATATCTTCTTCGGTGGATATTATACAAAGGATCTACCTGATTTGAACATCAATCTTGGAGCTAAAGATATTACTCATTTATATCAGAACTTGGGGTTTGAGAAAGTAAATCTAGAAAATAGACAAACTTTGTCAAAATATAAGACGAAAAAGTCAATGAATATGAGACGTGCACTTAAATCCTCTGAGAAAACAACTCCAAATAAGAACCCATTTCTTGGAGTAAAACATCAGAGAAAGAAGAGCAGTAAGCCCCTAGGGATGAAGAGTGGTCATACCAAACCAGAGCCTTTTAAACTTATAGTTGACTCAACTCCTATTGATGACTCCCCAATCGAATGGAATGTTCCCAAAGATAGCGCGCCTGTAATTAGAGCTGCTGCTCCAAAGTCAACTCTCAACAAGAACTCCACTGTGAAAATGTTTGAAAAGAGCGGAGCTGATGGAGAAAACTATGTTTCTTCTTCAATGTCGCCAGAAGTAAAGAAATTGGACAAAAGAATTGGGAAATCTGAAATTAACCATATTACATTTAATGTGTTTAATGAGACTAAAGATGAAGAATTGCCTGAACAGGATCTCAGTTTTAACATTCCTACCTATAAATCATGCCCAACTACTTTGTGAAAATTTATCAAAGAAGAACTTGGAAGTATCCACAAACAAATTATTAGAGTTAAGAGTAAATTAGTCACTCATTGATGCCAAGTGAGCGATGATATTTTAGAAAAACTAAAATTTATCCACTTAGAAAGACTTATTAAGAGAGTAAAGGAAAGTTTCACATCGACTGAATGAATTGACGATAATCTTGGTGTACTTCACCCGAATCCTTTAAAAAGAAACGAAGCTTTAGTTGAAAAGCAAAGAAAGAGATTTAAAGACATTAAACTTGTCAGCTTTCCAATAGAAAGGATCCCCTTCCAGTCTGGAGACAATGCTCCTATCTTCATTGAAAACCACTATAAGTTGAGTAAGAAGAAGAAAAGTAAAGAGAAGAAGGAGTACGAAAAAGATAAGATTCATCTTTTTATTCTTATTCACGGGCTTGATGCTTCCTACACTGAGATGATTCCTCTAATGAATGAAATTGCAATCATCAACGAGACTGCTAAGTTCATCCTTCCAGAATGTATGAAGAGGAGCAATTCTCATGCGAAGATAGAGAAGTTAGGAGAAATGGTTGCAGAAGAAATTCTATCTGAAATCGAAGATAAATATGATCACTCAGATATTGGAAAAATATCCTTTATCTGTCACTCAATGGGAGGAATAGTCGCCAGAGCATCCCTCAAGCATCTTGAAGAATACCATGATAAGTTTTATGGGTATCTTAGCATTGCAACTCCTCACTTAGGAGTTAGTAAGGCTCATGCTCATATTCAAGTGGGCACTTGGCTTTTGGAAGGAACTAGTGATTATGAATGTGTTAGTCAATTGAGGATGACAGATTCATACCAAATCAAGAATTCTTTCCTGTACAAACTATCTCAAACTAAAGCTTTTAGTCATTTTACTTATGTTTATTTCATCTGTTCTCCTCAAGATAACTTCTCTCCATATTACTCTTCAAGAGTTCAGATGTTTCAGGAAGATCTAGAGAAGAGTAATACTTCAAAGGCTCTTTTAGAAATGAACCACAACCTATTATCAGAGTGCAGAAATGGAATCACAAGAGTAGATGTTAGCTTCAATATTGAAAAGAACAATTTCTCTGCTTGGATTGGGAAGACAGCACATATAATGTTCCTTGAGTATCAGCCATTCCTTCAAGTTCTCGTGAGTAACTATCGAAACACCATTTTTACTAAATAAAGTTGATATCATGAATAAATCTTCCTCAACCTAATTTTAACTTTTAGGGGTTTTGGGGTTTTGGGGTTTTGGGGTTTTGGGG